AAAGCGCTCAGATTTACCTTTCAACCGAAAAATCCAAATTTCCGCCCCGCAAGTTCAAAAAATCCAATTTTGTTTTCAAAAAGAGCAAAAAGTATTCACTCTACGCCGCTAAAGCCTTTTTTCTAACAAGCAAACGGTGGATTGAATAGCTATTTTTTTATAAGCTTAATATTTTCATTTTAAAAAGGTGTCTCAAATTCAAAAACATCGCTCGAAAAATATAAGAATTTTTAGAGGAAAAAGCCTTTTTACTGATCTAAAAACACAAAAGATGAAAAAAAGCCAGCAGAGATACGAAAAAAGACCCTGAATAGGTGTATACGAAAATTCATAGGCTTCTCAGAGACGCAATGAAAAGAGCGTTCTTGCATAATCTGCCAGACATAATCTCCCAGATTTTTTTTTTCCAGTCTTATCACGGGGCTACGAGGATTTTTAGGCAAAAGCTCGAAATACAAAGATCAACTCAAGAGAAAAAACGGCTGTTGATACTTTACTCCAATAAAATAAGAAAGAAATAGAAGGTATGTGACAAAAAAACCTGTTCAGAAGAAGTTTTTAAAGTAGGTAACTAGGCCGGAGCGGTCCGTCACCTGAAGCACAGCAGGAATGAAAAGCGTCCCAACTTCTCATGAAAAAGTACCTTTTTCAGTTGAACGTCTTCCGGAATATCACTCATTATCCTCGCTGTCGATGGAGTGCTCTCAAACTTGTCAACGTGCGAACATGTTTTCTGGTTTGAGAGGAAAAACCTCGATAGTAATGGTAGAGACACGTTTTCGCGACTTCTTGGTACCCTTCTTTTTTCCTTTTTTGTTCGGGGCTGAAAAAAAAGGGATGATATCGAAAAATTTCATGAATATACAGTTACCTTCGTCTTCGATCGACTTTATAACTTTTTGACAAACTTCTGATTCTCCCGGCATGGAAAGAAGGGATTTTTTCGACTGAAAACCTCAATATTGAATACGTTCCCTAGAGTCCATCTTTGGGATTACTGCACAGCTAAAAAAACAAAAACAAAATTTTAGTCGGTATTCTCGATATTTAATATGCAAACGAACGAATAACGCGTAAATAAAAATTGCCGAAATTACTTTGAGCACCTCCGACACGGCACCGCCTTAAGGCGCCCGCAACTGGCCGTTTCGCCTAAAGGCGCCCCGAACTCGGCAGAGTCGGAGGACCTCCGAAATTGAGGCGACGAGATTGAAAATGCGCCAGCGCGAACATGTTTCTTACAATTTTTATTTCAAAAGTTTTTGGGATTTCGTTTCTTCTTTTATTTATTTCTTTTTCATTGTCGGAATTGTTGAAGATATTCACTTTTTTTATTTTGCTGAAAAAACATTCAAATAAATTTTTCCTATTTCTACCCCCATGCAGAACTTTTTTCCACTTATTTCCAGGTTTTGTTCCGCCAAACTTGATTCGAAAATTGATAGCTTCAACCATTATTTATTCAGTTATCCTCAATATGAGGTAAGTTTACCTTTTTCGTTGTATAATCTCATTTCTGTTGAGGTCACTTGTCGAATCAATGATTGACTAATTCTGAGGTTTTTATTTCTACGATGATCAGCGTTGCTGGGCTTGAAAATGGAATCGATGTTAAAACTGTGAGTTTATGACTTGAGAATTTGAGAGAATACTCCGATATATTCAAATTGAATTAAAATTACTTTGCCCGTTTTCTATTTTTTTTATTTCAAATTTATAACGTTTCAAGTGATTCCGCAAAATTTTAAATTGCCGTCAGTAAGTGAAAAAATGTATAAAATTTGACAGTCAAGGGTAATTTTGAGTTTCGCGGAAATTACTTTGAAATTACGGCATTAAATTATTTTTGGCGTGGCTTGTGAAAAAAACCAGAGGCCGTATGAAAAAGGTGAAATGATTTTAACGAATGTAGAAAAAAACTACTTCGCTAATGTTATATATTAGAACTCCGGTATCTGATCGATTTTGTGAAACTAATATAAATTATATCATGAAAAAACGCAATTAAAAACTCAACTGTGCTAAAAGTAATCTCGCGAAATTCGATTTTATCCCTGACTCGCTTCAATTTTGGACTTTTTTACAAATCTAAAAAGATATCGAAAATCTGTGAGTGATTCGATTCAGTGTACAAGATAATAGATGAAACCGTATTTTCAAAATCCGAGCACTTTTCTTACTTGTGTAAATCGGGAAGTGAGTGACCGGAAATGAGTTATTTAGAAAACTTATGTTATGTGCAGTACGAAGTGAGATAAAAAAAAAGTTCGCGATTGCGACTGATTGTGGGCTGAGTCGGCCATTAAGCTCGGCCCAAAGCACAGCTCTGCTTTTTCTAGATGGTTCTTTAATTTTTTAAAGATCTTTTTCCGAAGCCTCTCCAACTTTTTTGGGTTACTGAGCGCTTCTATCATGGAATAAATTTCATTTCACGAACGGAAAAAATTTACTTTCTAAAAAATCTCCAATATGCTCGTACGAACTCAAATAGTAATTACCCCAAAACTCAAAAATCGACTCGCTTGAGTAGAGGTCGAGTTGAAACTTTGGCGACTTATAAACCTACTCCCAAGGAAAGAAAATAGATTATTTACTAGACCCCATAGGCTTCTGAGAAAAATATCTCCAAAGAAATAGAGGAAGAGTCATGTACGCGCCTGAGCTTCCTTCTTTCACAAGGGTAGCTTGGGGCAGTCTCGTTGAAATGAGTATTCACGGGTATCTGCGGAGTTCAAAGTTTTCTGCATTTCCCTTGAAGGCAAAAACCTTGTAAAAGGCTTAAAATGGATGAAAACGATTTTTCTTGATTAATTTGGTTCTCAAAGAAGAACTTAATGAATAAAATAGTCTGTTTTTGCACTACAACTATGTAAGTTTCAAATTGCGTCCTTCATAGAAAAAATTTCAGAGAGATCTAGAAAAATTCCAACAGGCATCGAAGTGCGAAATATGTCTTTTTTCAATTCCTTCAATTTTTTTTTGATAATAAAATTATTTAAGAAATGACGTTCTCACTTTTTTATGCCGTTCACAAACTTTTCTTCTTCTTCAAAAAAAAAATGCAAAAAATTTTGCGCTCGACAGATGGACCTTTTTCCTGAAGCTAACTTTTGACGCTAAGAGGGCGTGGCCTGTCTGCGTCTCGTCTCGGGAATTATCGTGCCAGGACCCTTTTTTCGATGGCTCAAGCCAGCCGTGAATCAGCTATACGAATCCATCCATATTTGGGAAAATCAAAAGGAAATTCTGAATTGAAAGTTAAAGTTACCTCATATTTAGATGAAAGGCTAGAACGAAAAAAAGTTTAACGTCAATGTTCGCATGAGAAAAGTACATTTTTTAGAGTGAAAAAGGGTATTTTGGATGAAAAAAAAACTGGGTAATCCGAGAGAGTAGCTCGTGTACATTAGATAAGAAAACCAAGCAAGAAAAGATAGTGTTCAAAGAAATTTCGGCGAAACGCAAAATTATCTCTGACTCTCGAAAAATTTGGTATCTTTTTTTCTTTCTCTGACGACTATTTTTGAGCTTTGCGGAATCACTTTGAACACGGCATATGCATGTTTCTAAGTAGATAAAACTAAAGTATGAGAGCTTTATCGAAGAGTTTATTGCGAATTTTTACAGGAAACGTGTAAAACGACTCGTCTAGATGAAGACGTCGCGATATTGGATTGTTTCTCATTAACGATCAAGGAGATTAAATTTTTTTGTCAATTCCGTTAGCATTTTGATTGTTCGAGTCGTCTCTTTTTCTTTCCATCTCGATTGAAAACTATATTGAATTTTCTCATTTGACTATCGATTCATTAGTCATTTTTTACGCTAATCTTCTTTGAGCTATTTACTATTTCTTTTCTCTACAAAAAAGTTTTGAACAGTCTTTTTGAGTTTTTATTTGTATGAAGTTTCCTCAAATACATATTTTACAAACATGTTATCTTTATATCCTGCTATAGGTAATCTACCTCAAAATTATTTCTTGATGTCTGAAATTTTGTAAACTAATAAGGCAAACCCTCTTTTGGCTTCATTTTTCGTACTTTATCAATCAGTCATGATTGACGAAGTACGAAAAATAGAGCCCAATCGAGCAAAAGGAGGCCATTTGAATGGTAACACCGCATTGAAAGCGCCTTGAAAGCGGCACAACAGCGCAGTTCCCCCGACGCGGCGGCACTACTGCGCCACGAAAGCGCGGGATGTGCGCGCCTTTAGGCGGGGAAGGGGGCGCCTTTAGGCGGGGAAGAGGGCGCCTTTAGGCGGTGCCGTGTCGGAGACGGAATAAACCGTAGCACTTTAAAAAGGCACACGAGTGTGAATGTGGGCGTGGCTTGAAGCAACTGTCGCGCAGCTTTAGAAGATTATTCTCCGTGTGGATTTACCCTCAGTTTCAAGACGCCATTATAGATAGCACTCCCAAAAGTCTCCTCGTGGCGCATTCCGCGTGCGTGCGCGCGCCAATTCAAATTTCGTCTCTTAAACTAGATTTACAGGCTTCCAGTATGTGGTTCTTTTCGTATAATTTTTCTTACTTATTCATTTCCAGTTTTCTTTTATTTAATATTGACTCATTTAGGGAATCTAACTTTATTTAAGAAAGTTTTTTTTTCTTGTTTTAGCGCCAATTCAAATTTTCGCCTTCACTCACTTGCACAGGCAAATGGGGAAGGTACCGTAATGTGCCCACAAATATACCTCTTAAGATGAATCTTGAATATTCCATAATATGTCCATCGTGAGACGTCGAGCATAAATTTTAGCTCTAGCTGACCAGGGAATGGTGTCTGGTCGCAGTTGGATTTCAGAATGAGACATAGTTCACTAAATAAAGTTTTTCATGCTGTTTCCAAATCTGTTTTCAATAAATGCCGCGGAGGTCCGTGAAAAAAGTTTCTTTTTTTGAAAAGTTTTTGAGCGGAGATACGATTTTTCAAAGCTCCTCGCATGATAAGGAAATTTGCTGCTGAAAATTCATTCTTCGTTTCTCATGAGCGAATGGAGAACAACGTGTACAGCTTATACAAATTTCAAAGGAAGTCTGAAAACAGAATGAATAAAAATTAGAAAACCGAAGTGACACGGTGTTTTTTTCATTACGCAAGGTCAATACTTTTCGTAAATTATGATGCTTAGGGTGTAAGCACACCGAGACGCACTATCGCATACTCAAAATGTTTTTTTTCAATTTAGAATTTGCGATTTCAGAATAATAGCTCCTGAAATGTTCGAAATTTGTCATTTTGAAGAATATGATGTGAAAAAAACATACACTTACGTTAAAAAAAAAAACATTTAGAAACGATTTCGAAAGGGGAAAACTCTAAATTACTGATTACAAAATAAAAACAAAAAAATATTATAGGGTGAATCAGCTCCCATTGAATAAGCATTTATAAATACGAAAAAAATATCGAAATGAGGAAAAATTCGAGGAGCAAATGAAAAACATTTTATATACCTCGAAAACCTAGCTTTAGAAAAAAACAAATAATGGATAGAAAGCAGAAATTTTAGAAAAACCTCGTATGGCGAAATTTTTTTGTTTAAATCCGAAAAAAACCATCAAAAAAACTAGAAAAATATAATTTAGATGATTCATATATCAAAAATCATTAAACTGCATCAGCAAATTCAATTTGGCTCTAACTTACACGAAACCGGTTTCAAACTACGTCAAAGGAACTAGATAATAACTTTTTATTATTGACTGATTAAATTAAAAACTATAGTTTCCGAAATAGAGTGATTATTTTCATGTCGCGAAACAGATTTCAAAATTTTTAAAAATTAGGACTTTTAGAAAAATCTTCAACTCTTTTGCGAAAAAAGTTAAAGATCTGAAACCGGTTTAGAAAAGTGCACAATTTAAAGCTTCACAAGATGTACCCATAGAGAGGCGGATCACATAAATCCAAGAAATAGA